CCTAAAATTGTATGTATCTGTATGTGTGTGTATGAATGAGAAAGACATGCGTACCTTTAGAGGTTTTATTGAATAGCAAAGAGCATGTTGTATAATTTTTCATTGATATTATTAATATTTCTAATCAAGTTTACTCTGGTGGTAACCTTATAGATTAATTCTTCCTATTTCTCTTATTCTTTAAGTTGTATTTACTTCTTGTGTGTTCTCTATTTGAAACACCCTACCAAAGTGATTTCAGAAACACACTTAAAATGTATCATTCATTTTATAAAGGCAAATCACTAATCTTTTGGAAGACCTGAAGAAAATGGAAGACCTTGGAAAAAATTCATGTGAAGAAATTCGTAGAAAACTTCACTCAATTGAATACGAAAATGAAACTCTAAATCTTGAGAATACAAAATTAAAGGTACTATATAAGTGTGTTTGTGCAGGTGTGTATTGTGTAATGACAACTTAGTCTACTTAGTGGAAATAGCTTGAAGAAACTATATGTTTAGAATAGTGTTCTTGTATCATTTTGTCCTTTTTACTTCTCAGGATATTATGTTTTCAACACTACAAATAAGATTTATGAAGTTGACTGTCTCTTTGCCTCAACTTAAGAAAAATGATTTACTCTCCAATTTTAGCATTTAAGTGAATATTCCAAAATTACATAACTTTAATGCATAAGATTATTTCTAGGTGTCATGGTTACGATAGGATATAACCTCAGGCTTGGTCTGTTTGAAACCAGAAAGTATGTTCTTGGCTGCTTCATAACCAGAAAGAATTTTCCAACTTAGTCAAATCCAAGGAGTGATTGGTTTGCATGTGTACCAAAGAAGAGGTAGGAAAGAAGCTTTTATACTTTCTGAGAAAAAAGATATTTGAGTTCTTAATCAACAGAGATACATGTAACCCAGCGAGACTTCACTAAAGATGATGGCATCATTCTCACTTCCATAATACTACTTTTGGAGGATGGAAAATGGAAGACAGAAAAAAATCTTTTTAAACCATGAAATAAAATTTGTGTGTACAGAATAAATAACAATATATTAGTAGCATAATATCAGTAGCATAGAGTACATTTTAGAGAAACTCGTAAAATAAGCATCTAACATTGTTTTGCTGTTTTATAACAGTTCAATTTTATCACTGTATTTAGAATTAGCTAAAAGACATACATTTATTCTGCATATTAAGATATTTTTATTGTAGCTAATTTGCGTGGTACTTGAGAGAAAATATCTTTAATGTTAAAAGAGAAATTCTAAGACTTGGTGTTTTTTTTAAGTTTTTTTTG